GGGGTTTCGAGCTTGGATTTACTTTGAAAACGGGTAAAAAGTTGTTTTAAAAAGTATTGTATATATATGGTTCGATGCAGCTCGGCGAACTGATTCCGAATATCACCTTAGTTGTCCTTTAAACTCTAGTACAGATGTCTAAAGTCGCATTTTCGCCTAGAGACCTCGGATTTTTGGGCACCATTTAAAACAGCTTAGGTTAGGTTTCATGAGTTGGCGCTACTACCATAGTTAGAATACATATCCAGAAATATCTGGTAAAAATACACGCGCGAGCAGACGTGACCCTTTCGTAGGGTTTTTAACATACGCAACAGTAGGTTTTCGGGTAGGATTTCTACATAGGAATTCCTAGTTTTCTATTCTATTTTAAATTGGATTACGATAATTTTTTTCGCCATAAAGTCCATAGATGAGCAAGTTTTTCGCGATATTGTTTGCTTCTGAAATATTGTGCTATAATGCTCTGCAGCTTGAGTTTCTTGATTTATGCTGATTTCTGGGCCCAAGCTTTGACAGGCTTTTTTCTTGGGCTCTATAAAACTTTGAGAATCGCTATTTTAGGAAATAATAGATCACATATGTATGTATCTACGTGAACAGTTAGATTCTGGAAAAAAATATTTTCGCATATGTCCGCCTGGCTCCCCACTGCGCCACACCCACACCCACACCCACCCACACCCACACCCACACCCACACATCCCACACCCACACTCCAATATTAAATAACGAAGAAATAATAAATGATGACAAGGAAAATGATGAAGAATATTTTCTTCTGCCACGAGCAGCAGAATTTTTAAGATTTGGTCGACATCTTCATCATTTTCTCGTTTTAATCGTTAAGCTTAACGTTCAGTTTGAAGCAATTGTTTTGATTTCGTCGATAAGCTCGACCAACTGATTCTATCAATTTTGAGAAATGATCGTCTGCTTGTACTTTACATATAAAAACTCTCCGTTTGTGGTCACTCACTGGCAGTGACATCTTTCCTTTCTTTGGAACATTGGTTGTCCGATAGTTTATCATGAACAAATGGACGGACATACACAATGAAGAATTACCATTGTCATTGTCATTTTATATTTCAACTCGAAAGAAATGCAAAACTACGCTGATTTTCGAAAAAGTATTCGAGATTTTCTTCTTTTAAACCCATCACCATCACCAGCTGATACAGTTGCTATTCTCGAACGACTAGAAAAACAAGTATTCGGCATTTGTTCGTCTTTGGGTTCAAAAATGGACGAAAAAAATAACGATCTGATCAAACCACTCAAAGAACGTATTGATCTCGGTGACCAACTGAATATAACGAAAGAATCAACAAATAAAATCATTAAATGTTACAACATGTCTATGAAAGCTGCGTCGCATACCATTGCACGAACAATTATAGAAATGATTGCGCGTGGACACGCGCAAGAAATTTATTCGTCTGTGGAAAAACTTATGAACCAATTTCGTCTCGAGAAGAAGTATTCGGCGAGTGATTGATCATTATCTTATTCTGATCGAAATTATATATTTTCTTTTGGAAGAATAATCGGAAAACCATTGATTTGGTGCAAGAGGCAAAGATACGATCATTTTGGGATAAAATTACATCAATAGAACAAAACAATCTTGATCTTTATCTTAAATGGCATTATCAAAGTTTACATAAGAAAAATTTTGTTCCAACGAATGATGTGTTAAAACATCTGTGGAGCAGATCGAAAGCAACTGATATAGTAACAAGTCTCACGCATCCTAAATTTGGCTCATTTTCGGATAAAATCGAACATATTGAAGTAAATGTTGCGATAAAGAGTGTTTCGAAGACCACTTATTATTATTATTGAAGCTTTTCTTTATTAAATTAATATCGATGATTTTTGTTGTTACTATAGACATCATTCATAAACCTCTACCATACGTTGTCTGAAGTGATTCACAATTCTAGTCCTCCATACGAAGATGATAAATTGCCAATTCCAGATCTTAGTGAAGGGCAATTCAGCCGATCTGATGCCTTAGCTCTTGGTAAGTTACATGAAATTTCACTTCATCATTTTTCTTTTTTTCTGATCTAGCTTCATTCTATAAAATTGCATTACCAAATATTGAATATGAATTCATTACAAATATCGTCCATTTCTCTTCTGATTCAGCAAATTTATTTAATCGTATAGATTTAAACAATAGTATGAACATGTGGACTACCACAATGAATGGAACAAATGAACAATCACTCAAACGAAAATTGTCTGATGGAAATCAAGAAAATGAAATCCAATGAGAGAGAATTTTTATGTGGTAGTCATCATATCTTCATTCCTCTATCTATCTCAACTGTTTTCTTTCGCTCTTCAGCTTTTTCATGTTTAATATTTTTTTCCGTCTGGATTTACCTTTCTTCTCTATTTTTCCTATCTATGTGTGAATAATTATTTGTATAAACATATTTATAATACAATAGATCGATTACTTGTCTATGCATTTAATTTCGTTTTTCTCTAGACTGTAAGGATATGGTTTAGAAACAGAACTTATCTTAAACTATATGGTTTCAATCGATAATATCGTATTATTTAAATAATATAATATTAATATGTTTGTCTCAAAAATGGCACAAATTAAAATATTTGAAATATTTCATAAAAATATCTACATACAACGTACGAGTTTAATTAGTTTAGTCAAAAATTGTTTTATTTTCTACTTTTTCTTCTAATTTACACAAATAACTAAAATCAGTAGCACAATTAGATATAATAGAATTACCAAGCATCTCTAGCAGGTATGTCTATAGTAATCAGATATCTTTAACTAAAGATATTAACAAAATTTTTTCCCATTTTATTCGATAAGACTATACTACGTATATCAAATTTAACATATGTTTCCACAGATATTCAAATAACAAAACCTAATTTAACATTAAATCAATGTGGATGTTATCTATTCTACCAAAATTATTCTGGTTTCAATTGTTTTATATCAAATCAAACATGTCAATTATTTGCCAATTTTGTCAATCATTTCATATTAATAGAGAATAGTCAAATGCAATTTTGTTTTATCAATCAACCAATAGGTAATATCTATACGATCATTCCTTTGATGATCTTCTCGTCAAACCAGATCAGTTCGACTTTGTTATATGCAAGAATAGTTTGATAACGATTAAATTCCTTCTAGAATTTCTCAAAAGATCATTTTAGTCATAAAATCATGACATTCTATTA